TCTTAATAGAGGCTGCTTGAAACTTCCATCGAAAGAAACTTCGTCAAGTGAATGCTGTCTGCTATGGGTTGGGTATTAATCCTAAGAAGAAGAAAAAAGAACTCATTGTACCTAAGGTGGGATGTCAAAAAACTACCTCTAGACATACGTCATAAGAAAAATAAAAAGAATGAGGAACAGGAGAACACATCAGTACCTCAACATTCCGCTTTGCTCCTTGAATCCGCTCTGTCCACATATTTCGAATAAGAGCACGTCGTCCTTCAGCAACAGAATTTCCAACAGGAAGTGTGCAGTAATCAATGACCTAATTGAACACCAATCGTGCAATTGACCATTGCATTAAATAAAGAATAAAAAAATGATTGAAGGAACAAAGTGGTATTTGTTATTCATAAATCCACCTCCTCTAGTTCTGAAAGTTGTTGAACTCTGACCATATTGCTGTAAGCACGCTCATAACTCTCCAGTACCTAAAGATAGAGATGTCTAGTTACAGTACAATCAGCAAGAAAGTAATATCAAATTATTCAAATATTTGTTGTAATTAGTAGTAACTCAATCATATAAATTATTACCCACCACAAAAGTAGAATTAGATATCATCCAAAGAGAGAGGTTGAATTCATTGATGTGTGGTTCTTAATATACATGTAAAGAGACCTTAATCATTAATAAATTGTGGTTCTTAATAGCAGGTTACTAGTCCTTAACCTCGTTCCATGTCTTCTTTGTTTGAAAATTATTCCCTTTCACTTATTTGTTTTAATTGGGGAGCTTTTAGTTTATCTCTTAACCTCTGAGTTTACTTTGTTATCTGTTATCTTTTATATTTTCTTCTACCTTTGCTTATTTCACTCTTTCGAGGGGTTGTATCTTTGGAGGGAGGGAGAGAGAGAGAGAGGCCCCCGATGGATATGGGAAAAATATACAAAAAATTTAGAAAAACAAAAGATATATGAAAGAATGAAAATTATAACACGCAACAATTACTAACACCGAAAGAACACACATAGAGTACGGCACAATTTGCAAAATAATTCATTGAAAACTTTCTGACATTACGTCTACAACTTACCACAGAACTTACTTTTTCATACTGAAGATATCTAAAGAGGACTCTTCTTTATGATTTTGATAGGCCCCCAATTACGAAGGTCTACTCAAGGAAGAGGGGTAGGAAAGGGGAATAATGTAAAGGGAAGGGGAACATGCTTTTGTTAGAGTGTGGGGCCCAAGTTAGTTACAGGGCGTTTTGGGAATGGTATTGTTAGTTATATACTGCTGCTTGTACGAGGGTAGGGTATCTTTTTGTTAGCTGGTAATGTCCTAAGGTAGGATTGTAGGAGAGACTAGGGAATCTCCCTCTACCCTGTCAAATCCCTCTGTTCCATAAATAATAGAAGACGTTTCTATCAGATTTCAATTGAGGCAAAAATTCTTGCATGCCTGCAATTTGTAATTTTTTTTAATTAACATTTGACTCATTGAAATTAATAATAAGATATAAAATATAATATACTTTTTTGGTTAGTGCATGCCGGGGTGAGGGGGTACTAACCAAAGCAGCAAGTTCTGTTGCTAAGCATTTCCTAGCTCTGTCAACATATTCACGAGCTTCATCATACTGGAACAGATATACTGGCGTTGATACTCCTTTAAAAATGAAATGATGCAGAAGAAGCACAAGTACAAAACAACGTAAAATATAGATCTCCAGGTTAATGGTACCTTTCCTTTACGAACTAATAACAAAGCCCTATAGAATGTTCCACTACTGCTTCCATCACCACTAGCAGCAGTGTTACCCAAGCTACGAAGTTTGGTTTCATCACCATCATCTAACCGAGAAACATATTCTGCCATTTGGTCCCACTCTCCCATGTTCCATGCAGCACTTGCAGCCTGGTGCACAGTCAGAAACAGTTAAGCAAGAACTGTAACAATTTTAACATTCTCTGGGTCAATGTCAAAGACTAACCATTGGAGCCATTTCTAGCCGAGCAGCTGGCTCTGCAGGGGTCCAATACTCCTTGCACAGGTTGTTAAGCTCTTCCCATCGAGCCAAAGCAGCAAGGCATCTCATCCGCCCTGTTAAGTATCCATAATATACTTTAAAATAATCTCAAGCAATGGCTGCCCTAAGTTTGTTATAACATGCGCTGAAAACTATTTAACAAATAGTCTCATTGATTTTTTAATTGAAAGAGAAGAGGATAATAAGGATGGAAAAAGGGAGTCTTCTAAGGGAATTTTTGTGAGAAGGGGTGGAATAGGGTGAAGGTTCTGATCTAGTTAATTAGGATACAGTGGCAAAGAAATCTATTTCCCTTTCAGGAGGTTTATTTCACCTTCTACAAGGATTAAGAGGTGCTCCTGTAAAAATAAAATGGAAAGGTGGCTCCCATTTTTGATCTTGCTTAAACATTTGGACAACTTCTCATCCTGGTCCACAGTCTGAGGCTACTTTGGCTTTTGATGTCCCTATTATAAATTTAGTTTAAAAGGAACCTCAGCAGAGAGGTGAGAGTTTTCAATGCTGCTTAAAAGCTCCTCAATAGAGATTAGAGAGGACGAAATAACGCAGAGTTTTAAGCTTCTAGTAATGGAAACAACAATACCCACAATAATATTCGAAAGAGGTCCCCCATTCTGGCCCTTTCTAGTTTCTCCAAATTGTTGTGTTATGTGGGACAACCCTAAATCACAGTCACCTCTTCCTAACATGCTCCTTTGCAAGCATATTTTAGTCCCTCATTTTGTCTATCTTCAAATGGGAAGCAGTTCTACAACACAAGTATCCATCTTTGTCCGATAATGATGGGACATGTTTTAAAGAAAGAAAAAGAGCTTCTATGGCTTCATGTACCTAGGGCATTCTTTTGGTTATTACGGCTTGAAAGGAATAACTACACTTTCAATAACAAAGTGGTCTTCTTTGATTATTTTCTGAACTCACTTCTAACCCTTGCTCTATCATGATGAACGTTTCTTACCCTTTTCTAACTAGGTAGACTAAATGATGTTTGGGAAAACTAGAAAGTATTTTTAGTAATTCTGTTAGATATGGCGATCTTCTGCCTTTTCTATAATATTTCATCACATCAATAAAATATTATTCCTATCAACACACACGGAAAAAAAAAAAAAATTATTGGTTACAATTATTTTCTTTGATTTATTTAAAGGCTCTCAAGCATTTTATTACTCAATATTCTATTTCCATGAGAACCTGGTAATGAATGTGGGAGGGAAGAATGTGTTTCAAAAACTCATTCCTATGTTTCACATTATACATAATCACTATTGAACATTGACATCCTAAACCCTCGCTGCAATTATTAGTATTGATTTTCAAGAAAACCTATGAGAATGGTTTCACCTTTCTAGTGGTAAATGTCTTCCAAATCACGTCAACATCTTTAGATAGGGGTACGATAAGTACATTAATCCTTAAACCTTCCATTATCAAGAATCCAACAGTCTCCAAGGAAAGGGTTATGCCTCCTAGGAGAGTAAGCAAGTTGGCCAGATCAGAGCGTGCTTAGTCATCAAAAATAAAATAAACTAAGTAGCACAAGAACAACGTTTAGTAAATTTTGTCACGTCTCGGGCTTGGTAACCCAGCTCGGTAGCCGTTGCATCCTTCCAAGTTTTTAGGGCAAAAAATATTCATACCCAATAATTAACCAAGATGTTCACAATTATTACATTTTGTTAATAATAAGAAAAGAAAATAATTCTTCCTTAATTACTCTGAATGATTGATACAAGGCTATATAAATAGCAGTCGCAAAGAAGAAACTAAAAAGAAATTCTTGCCTATTAGGATAAAGAAATACTTACCTATTAGAACAATAAAACCCTAACCTAAATAAAATAGGGAACCTTTAAAATAAAATAAACTATAATTTAACACTCCCCCTCAAGCTGGTGAATGAATATTTTCCATTCCCAGCTTGTTAACCAAATGCTCAAAATTATTGTTCAATCCTTTTGTAAGAATATCTGCTATTTGATTGTTTGTTGGTACAAATGGAGTACATATGAGGCCGCTATCTAACTTCTCTTTTATGAAGTGTCTATCAACTTCAACATGCTTGGTTCTGTCATGTTGAACTGGATTATGTGCAATACTGATGGCAGACTTGTTATCACAATAAAGTTTCATAAGCCCTTCCCATGGAATCTTCAAATCTTCTAAAATAATTTTTATCCACAGTAATTCGCAGATGCCCAATGCCATTGCTCTAAATTCCGCTTCTGAAGTTGATCTTGCAACTACATTTTGTTTTTTACTTCTCCATGTCACTAAGTTCCCACCAAAGAAAGTACAATAGCCAGAAGTGGATTTTCTATCGTCTATCGATCCTGCATAATCTGCATCTGTATAAACTTCTAGATTGAGTTTCTCGCCTTTCTTAAACAGCAATCCTCTCCCAATGGAGTTCTTTAAATAGTGGAGTGCTCGGTACACAGCTTGAAGATGAATTTCTTTTGGACTATGCATAAATTGGCTTACCACTCCTACAGCATACGCAATTTCTGGTCTCGTATGAGAAAGATATATTAATTTTTCAACTAACCTCTGGTAAGTTTCCTTATTTACTGGAGGACTCTCTTCAGATGCACATAATCTATGGTTTTGATCAATCGGCGTTCCTATTGGTCTG